TGCCCAGTTGGTAAATGGGACGAGGGACAAGGAATAGAATCTTTGCCTCGAATTTTCCCAATCCACCCTCAAATTTTATTTTTTAATTTAAATATTAATTAAAAATATAATATAATATTAAAAAATAAATTAATAACTAAAAGGTGTTGAAAATGAAGATATTTTAATCCCCGTCCCGTTTCCACTTCGTCCACACCACCTTTGCCGTCATTAACCACAGAAAAAGTCTTAACCTAATGCCCTTTATATAGAGGGAACTATTAAGGTGACCTAATACATGTCGGAACATTCCAAGGTGCCCCATAACACTTCAAAATTTTGCCTCGTGGGCTCCTCCCCCAACCCCATCCGAACCACAATCAAGGAAAAAGGATATAGTGTGTTTAGGCTCCACAATAAAAAGTGGGTCAAATATGGCATAGTCAAGGAACAAAAAGGTGCAACCTTAACACAATAAGGACAAGGTGAAGCAATGACACAAACACGGAAAAATATAAATAAACAAAGAAATTAGTATGGAAGTGTAAGGATATAAGGAAGAAAATATATTTTTTCTTATTCACATAGAAAGAGGACGATCCATATATATACAATGTTGGAGATCTATATTAGGAAAATATATAAATTACGAATCTCTATAATTACCCTATAATTAGGCCCATAACACTCCCCCTCAAGTTGGAACATAGATATTAATCATGCCCAACTTGTTACAAATATAATCAACTCGGATCCCATTTAGAGCCTTTGTAAAAATATCTCCCAATTGTTCTCCAGTCTTCACATATCCTGTAGTTATTAAATTTTGTTGCACCTTCTCACGGACGAAATAACAGTCAATCTCAATGTACTTAGTTCACTCATGGAACACAGGATTAGAAGCAATATGAAAAGCAGCTTGATTGTCACACCACAACTTTGCTGGTATTGAAGCTTTAAGACCAACTTTAGTTAAGAGCTGATATATCCATATTATCTCACACACAGACTGTGTCATAGCTCTATATTTTGATTATGCACTAGATTGGGACATAATATTTTGCTTCTTACTTTTCCATGAGATTAAATTTCCTCCAACAAAAACACAGTAACCAATAGTGGATCTTCTGTCAATCTTGGAACCTGCCCAATCTGCATCTGAGAAGCATTCGATATGGGTATATCCATAATTTATGTACAGTATTCCACGTCCAGAAACTCCTTTTAAATAGCACAGGATCTATTCTAAAGCTACCCAACGATGAACTGTTGGGGAAGACATGAACTAGCTTACAATACTTACAGAATATGCAATATCAGGACGGGTTACTGTAAGATAGTTCAATTTCCCAACCAGTCTTCTATACTTCTCTAGATCTTCAAATAAATCACCATCTTTAGTAAGTTGCAAATTGGGGAGTATTGGAGCACTGCTTGGCTTAGCTCCCAACTTTCTTGTCTCAATTAACAAGTCAAATACATATTTTCTTTGAGATAAGAATATGCCTTTCTTGTTTCTTGTCACCTCAATTCCCAAGAAATACTTCAACACTCCTAAATCCTTTGTGTGAAATTGGGCATGAAGAAAGGACTTCAGAGATGAAATTCCCATAGTATCACTACCAGTAATAACAATATCATCAACATACACAACAAAAAGAATAATGCCTGATTCGGACTTTTTTAGAAGACTGGGTGGTCAGACTTGCTCTTTTGCATTCCAAACTTTTCAATTGCCTGACTAAATTTTTCAAACCAAGCACGTGGACTTTGTTTCAAGCCATATAAGGATTTTCGAAGGTGACACACATTCCCATACTCCCCCTGAGCAACNTGGTGAATTTGACATGAAAAACCTAGGTAAAGCTAAGAGAATCCTAGGCATGAAAATAGAAAGAGATAGGTCAAATTCAGTTTCGTTCTTGTATCAATCTCCATACATATCTAAAGTATTGAAGAAATTTAATATGAGTGATTGCAAACCTGTCACGTTGCCTCTTGCTAATCATTTTGTTTTATCGAAGGAACAATCTCTTTGCAATGAGCGTGAAGTAGAATATATAGTAGAGTGCCTTACTCTAATGTGATTGGTTCCATAATGTATTTGATGGTTTGCACTAGATCAGATTTAGGTTTTACTGTTAGTACTCTCAGTAGGTACATGGCTAATCTGGACCCTGAACATTGGGAAGCGTTAAAGTGGCTATTAAAGTACTTAAAGGGTACAAGTGACGTAGGTTTAAAGTTTAGTGCTAATAAAGAAGGTATAAAATTAAAGGGTTTTGTAGATGCTGATTATGCGGGAGATAGGGATGGTAGGAAATCCACTTTGTCTTACGTGTTTACCTTATCTAATTCATGTGTTAGTTGGAAATCACAATTACAACACATTGTTGCACTATCCACTACAAAATCAGAATATATTACCACCATTGAAGCTATTAAAGAAGCTCTATGGCTTAAAGGCCTACTTCATAAACTATGTGGCTTGAATGATTATGTGGTAGTGTATTCTGATAGTCAGTCATCTATACATTTGTGCAAGAACCCCATTTTTCACGAGCACACTAAACACATTGATGTTAGATTCCACTTCATTAGAGATATAGTATCTCAAGAGGTGGTAAAAATTGAAAAGGTCCACACCCACTACAATCCTTCCGATATGGGGACAAAGATACTACCACTGGCAAAGTTTAGAAGTTGCAAGGAACTTCTAAACATTGGTACAAGTAAATGATTTTCAATTTTATTGGTTTTCTATCAGAGGTGTCACTAATGGGAGACATTTTCTTTTGCAGGTCCTTTGACACCAAGGTGGAGGTTGTTAAACAATTTGTTGTCCAACGACCTCTCGAGCAATGATGTAACCTCGATTTTATTTATTATCAGTCGGTCTTAGTCATATGATTGAATTATATGTCGACACTATCATCGAGACAACCCAACCCAATTTTCTATGGACCGTTAGAAGCAACCTATTTTAATAGTGTTGCTCGTGGTCCGTCCCATTTACTTGGAGGGCTATGTTATTTATTTGGAGCCCATTATTTTTGTGTTGAGCCTTGTTTGGACCACTAAGTTAACCTAACCTAACTTACCATTTTTTGGCCACTCACTAGTCTATAGCTTACGGCTCCTTCCACGCCTCCACAATGAAGAACTCTCCATCTCTTTCTGTGATCTTAATTCTCGGCCTCTTTCTTTCAAATAACCTGCGTGGTTTTCTCTTGGGCTATATTGTTATTCATCTTGGCCGACTCTTTGTGAGTATAAATAGCAACCGTAGGTGGGAAGAAAGAAAGTGAAAGTTGGGTGTTGTCTTAATCGTGGTTGCGTTGATATTTGGTGAAAACTGAGCCCGGTATCACCTTGGTTATTGCTGGAATTTCACCTCACACCTTTATTTTACCGTTTCTTTTAACATCGGAGGTAAAGTAGTGTTGACTGAATGTTTATTTATTCCCTTGGGGAATGACCTAGTACAAATCTCTGAGTATCTAGTTTTAACAAACATTTTTGAGGGAGCTCAACTTCATGAATCTTCTATGTTAGAATCATTTTTCTTTTAGCTTAAATATTTGCCTCAAAGCCCATTTACTTATGAATAAAGCCACTTGTACAATATATTTGCACAACTTGATTGACAACAAGTGTGTTGAAAAATCTTGACCATTGATGTTAAAAATAGTTTTTCAAATAGATGGATGTAATGTTTGCCAACTCATACATTGTAAATCAAGTTGTAAAATACATTGTACAAGTAGCATGATTGTTTACTTATTTGACATCATAATTTGATTTGGATTTGGTGCACCTCATGGGTTCTGCCCCAGTAGCTAGTTTTGATGCTTTAGTGTAGGCCTTCGGTTTCATAATGGATGGAACGTATATGATGTTATAGCTAGGTCCCATAACCTGTCGAATCTGACTGAAACCTAATCAACAACTGGTCAAAGGGCATCATGCTTTGAGATTTGAGAATCACAATCACAACATATAAAGCAACCTTTTTTCTCAGGGAAAACACCACCAGCAATAGAACT